GGGCTAGCCCGACCTGACCTGTCAAATTTCAAAGCCTGTATGAACTAACCCAGATGAAATGGGCCAGCCCATATTGACAGCTCTAAGAAAATATAACAACCTTTGTCAGCCTCTCAATAATAGTATGAGAAGGTGATATCATCTTAAATATTTATTGTTAGTAGTATCTTGTATAATGACGTTTAAATTAACATTATTAGAGGTCTTGCTCTTTTATCGGTGTATATAACAAATTAACAACCATAGAGTCACTGTTAGCAAAAAAATAAAAATTGGACATCGGATTGATTTTTTTTTAATTATAAACTAATAAAGTGTATTATTTGGGATTCAAACCCCCATCTTCACTGTAGTAGGATATATTTCTACATGTTTTTTTTGGTTTTAAACTGTTTATATTAAATTTATTTACACTCTTTAATTTTAATTTACATTTTCATGAAAATTTCGACCTACCAAAGTCGCTTTATTTTTTTTTATTTTTTTGTAAAACCCTCCGAGCTCTAGATGTTGATTTTTGTAAAATAAAATAAAGGAAAAAGGGTTTGATGTATTCCTTAGTTTTGTTATTTAAAATTGATATATTTCTCGTTATTAAAGTGACTCATTTATACTCTTACTGTTACACAAATGACTCATATTTTTACACTAATGAATGAAAGAAAAAAAAAATAAGAAACTCAAATAACGATAATCATAATAGATCATTTATACCCCTACATGGATTTTTTTTAAAATAAATTCAATTTTTTTTTTTATGCTCTTGTTAGATGAAAATGGTATATGCAATGTGTGTCATTTTTATAACGATATGGGTATATATAAGTCACTTTTGTAACGATAGGATATATATGAGCTAACAAGGAGTATAACAATTCTAAATAGCAAAGTTGAGGGGTGAAATAATATCTTTAATGGTCACTCAACTAAAGATTATTTGTCACACAACTAAGGATATATTGTTTTCATAGAACAATTATTGTCATCATCAGTACTTCCCTTTGTGTTGCATTCAATAATTGAATTGGATGTTTTTGAGATCTTAGCCAAAACTAATGATACTTAACTTTCTTCTTCTCAAATTGTTTCTAAATTGGCTTGCAACAACCCTATTGATGCAGCCAATAAGATAGTTGTTGAGGCCATTCAAGCAGTGAAACCTAATCATACTCATATCTCTGTGGTTATTTCACAGTCTGATTTGGTCATGTTGGCTCAAACTTCCGGAGGCAAAGAGCGTTCTCACCAGGAGTTTCGAGAGCTCGCAACTGAAACTTGATTCAAAGGCATTAACTTTATACATATACCACTGTACTACTGCAAATAGTTTACATATATCCCTGGTTATACTTTTGGTCCAAATATACCCTTACCGTTATACTTTGGATCAAATATACCCCTCATCCGTTAAATATTTGAATCTCAATCTTAAAATAGACAAGTGAAGGATTGAGATTAATTTGAAGTACCCATATCCTTTTGTCCAAACCAACACCCAAAATAACCCACTGAACACTTTTTTGCCCAAACCCATTTATAAGCAAACAAAAGCACAATCAACTGTTTGTCAAAAACATTACTAATGGATTAGCTTCACGCAGTACATGAATTTGGTTTTTTTAATTACTGTTTTCATTTGTTTTGCCAATTAAAAATACAAACCGTTGAAAAAAATTCCAAACTTTTTAAAAATAGTTCACTATATGTTATTCTTATTGAGTTCAATGTCTCGGTTTAATTCTGAAATTTTTGAAAGTTCAACTGATATGGTGCTTGAAATTTCATTGATTTCGATTCACCCGCTAAAATTATAAGTCACATTCGGTGGATAAGTAGGAAACGAAATTGTTGGGTCTTCAAATCCACATTCATATTTATGGCTGAATTACTTCTAAAATTTGTGAATGGAAGTTGTTGTAAATCAATGGAATATTGAAAAAAAATTGGGTTAGTATTTTTTTTAGCTGAGATTTTCTCTTGGCGGATATTATTGAGATAAATTCAGTTTTGGCCTTTTGGGTTCTTTAAATTTGACGATGAATTTAAAAAAAATTCTAAGTTATTCAATAATTTTTCACTGTTGTTGACTCATCAAAATTTCAAGTTGTTGAGATTTTGAAGTGTCTGTGTGTGTTCGGATGTTGAGAATCATCACTTAGATGAATACGGTTATTATTGAAGTGGTCAAAATTGAATCGAAGATTGTTATTTTCTCGGCATTACTCCATTGTTGTATGTTGATATTAGAAGCTTTATTTGGGTTGGGTTATGGTTATTTTGGGTGGTTGTTTGGACAAAAAAGGATATGGGTACTTCAAATTAATCCCAACCCTTCAATTGTCTATTTTAAGATTGAGATTCAAATATTTAACTGATGAGGGGTATATTTGACCCAAAGTATAACAATAAAGGTATATTTAGCCCAAAAATATAACAAAGAATATACGTAAACTATTTGTAATAGTACAGGAGTATATTTAGCCCTTTGCCCTTAAATATATTATATTGAGGGCTTCTCTTCTGGGACTTTGAATTAAGGGTTATAGAAAAGTTTCAAAATTAGGGATTGGTGACTCAAGTTTTAATTATTGAGTAGGGGTGACAATTTTTAAATTAAGAATTAAGGGGTTGCATTTTTTATCCCTAAGTTTTTTTATTTAAACTTTAGTCCATCTTATATAAAATCCTAAATAATAAGAAATGGAGGGAAAAAAAGTGTACCAACAGCTCAGTTTTTCCTTTTTTCTCTCTTGCTTATTCTTCTATTGTTGGGGACCATTGTTGCTGCTCTTCTTCTTCATTCTTCTTCTCCATCATCATTCTTTTTCTTCTTCTTGTTCATCACCATCTTCTTCTGGTTATTCATCATTTTTTTTTTCTTCAGTTGATAATCACATTGTACTGTTGCTTTCAGACGAATTTTCATTCATATATCATTGGACACTACATCATAGGTGATTTTGGTAAGTAAACTAATGATTTTTACTCTAATTTTTCATTATGATAGTTTGAGTGTTTTTTTAAAATTTTACAGTCGCGTACCCAACAGGTAAGTCATCTATTGCAACAAATAGATTACCTGTTGGATACATATTACAGTACCATGTCAAGTTGGGACTGAACCAGAAGCTTCTCCCAACAGATAAGTCATTTATTGCAACTGATGTGTCATCTGCTGCACCAGATGACTCATCTGCTGCACCAGATGACTCATCTACTGCAACAGAGGGCTTACCTGTTGGATATTTATTACAATATCAGACTAAGCTGGGAAAGAACTAGAAGCTTGTCTCAATAGATAAGCCATTTATTGTAACATATGAGTCATCTACTGCACCAGATGACTCATCTGTTGCAACAAATGGCTTACCCATTGAATACATGTTACAGTACTAGGCCAAACTAGAACAAAATCAGAAATTTGTCCAAACAGGCAAGTCATATATTGCAACATATCAATTACATGTTCCAACAAATCAATTACTTGTTGCAACAAATGACTCATCTGTTACAACAATTGACTTACATGTTGGATAAAGTTCTGGTTCTGGACATGTATCCAACAAGTGAATTATCAATTGCAACAAGTGAATCATCTGCTGCAACGGATGACGTACTTATTACAATAGATGATTGACTTGTTGAGACAATGATTGTGCATATGATTTTTAACTGTATATAGCCACTCAACTTTACTATACAATCATTATTAAATATTTTTAATAAATTTCCTTAGGTATCATTAATGGAAGAATCAATAACAATAGTTGTTGATTGTTATGGTGAATGGATTGAGAAAAACAATCGATTTATTTGGCGTTGGAAGGTTGGTAACATGTCAGAGTCAGTATTGATGACCGTCTAAAGGGATATTTTTTATAATGATTTTGTGAACTCAATCATTAGCTATTGTGGACTAAATTGTCAACCAAATGATCTTGTCATCAGTTACATGCACAAGTCTTTGGAAAATCAGAGGGTCCTGCCTTTTAAGATAAACAATCAACTTCGTTTGAGTGCTTATCTGAGTGATGCAACTCTGTCCGTTTTAAGGGTGTACATTGTTGAAAAATTGATAGAGAATGAAAATGTAGGACAAGACCAACAAAATCTGTTAAATGATGAATTGAATGAGATGAACATGAATATTCTAGATGATGAGATTGGACATGATGTGGAGGAGGACCAAACACCTACACTTATTGTTGATGTAGGGGACAGTTCTCAGTTAAAACAATTGAACAATCTTCAAGATGATGAGACAGGTTTTTACATAGGAATGACATTCAAGAACAAAAACGAACTAGTCACTTCATTGCATATTGCTTGCTTGAAAAAAGATTTCAGACTTGCAAAGGTGATTAATTCGCGTAATGTGTATTGTTTTAAATGCGCATATCCAGAGTGCAAGTGGTGGTTGAAGGCTGTGAAATTCAAAAGTTCTGACAGATTTTGTATTAAAATTTATAAAAAAGTATCACACATGTGGTTCAGAGCATATTACGAGTCATAATCCACATGCCACAGCAAAAGTCCTTGGTAAATACTTCAAAAATAGTTTTCCTAATGGTAAAGGTCCATCTACAAGAGATATGACCAATAAACTCCGTACAGAATTGGGTTGTAAGGTGAGTTATTGGAAGATATATAAGGGTAGGGAGATTGCAAAGTCTTTGGTTAGGGGAACACATGAGCACGAGTATGGAGTGCTTGATGCATACCGTTATATGCTTGAGTCCGCAAATCCAGGAAGTAAGACGGCATTGCAGGTTGATGAAAATGGAAAGTTCAAGTACTTTTTTGTAGCCTATGCGGCTTGGATTCAAGGTTTTCAACAATTGAGAAAAGTCATAGCTGTTGATGGGACATTCTTGAAGAGCAAGTATGAAGGAGTTTTACTATCGGCGGTGGCGCAAGATGCAGAGAATCATATTTTTTCAGTGGCTTTTTGTGTAGTCGATTAAGAATGTGATGCCTCATATCAATATTTTTTTGAACAAATGAGAAGTTATGTAGATGATATCGATGAGCTGTGCATAATTTCTGATAGGCATTCAAGTATTCGAAAGATGGTTTCAATTGTGTATCCATCAGCTCATTATGGTTGTTGCATGAGGCACCTTGGAAAAAATATTCGAAACAATTTTCACAATCTAAAGGTCGTATCTCATTTTTATAATGCAGCGAAAGCGTACAGTAAAGTTAAGTTCTATGACCATTTCAACCAGATAAGGGATATGGTACCCAAAGCAGCCGTACATCTCGAATCAGTTGCATTTCATAGATGGAGCAGGGCATTTTGCCCGGGAAATAGGTACAATATTATATATTGAGCATCTTGTTTAAGTTTAATATAATTATATATCTTATTATGTTTTTTTTTTTTATAGGTATAATATTATGACCTCAAACATTGCTGAATCCATGAATGCAATGTTTGAAGTTGAAAGAGAATTTCCTATCGTCGCTTTGTTTGACGAAATAAATATGAGATTTGCAAAATTATTTCACGAAAGGAGTATCGAGTTGGTCAACTCACCAAACATATTTGTTCCTTCAATGGAAAAACAAATATCAAAGAATATCAATTTGGGAAATAAGTTATTGGCCCATCAAATAGCCAATTACAAGTTTAATATCAACGGTCATGGTGATGTTGCCACGGTCGATCTTCAAAGAAGAATGTGCACATGTAGAGTTTTTGACTTGGACAAAATACCTTGTCCACATGCTATGGCAGCGCTTCGATCCCAATATGGTGCACATTTTGGAAATCAGATCTATGAGTACTCGTCTTCATATTATTCGGTGGAAAAATACACAATTGCATCTTGTGAGGAAATTAATCCTGTGCCTCCTGAAGATTCTTGGATTGTTCCTTTGAAGATATTGGAGAGAGAAACACCTCCTCCATATGTTGACCCAAGAAAACCGGGAAGAAGGCGAACGAAAAATAGGCGTGGAGTCGGGGAATCATTTCCAACAAGAAAAAATAAGTGTTCAATATGTAAAAATATTGGACACAACAGAACAACATGCCCGGTTCGAAATGCTCCATAATTATTGTAATAGTGAAATAGCTATTTTGTACTTAGTTATGAATTTGATAATTATAATTCATTTTGGTTAATTTTGTATGTTCATACTTATAATATATAATATATTAATTATGCTCATTCGTTGCAACAAACTTTGCATATTTTGCATTAGATGCATTATTTATTGCAATAGATAATTCATCTATTGAAAATAATCAAATATATTGCTTGATCATTTTCATTGGATAAGTCATCTATTGAAAATAATCAAATAAATATGATTATCTGTTGCAACAATTATAGGAATCAGTTACAACAAATATTTAATATGTATTATCTGTTGCAATAGATGACTTATCCAATGAAAATAATCAAATATATATACTCATCGGTTGCAACATATGAGCATCAGTTGCAACAGATGAGCATATATGTTTGATCATTTTCAATCGACTCTATATTATTTTGATATGAAATGCTTCATTAGCCCATAATTTGTGATAAATAAAGTTTTTTAATTATAGTTATCTTTTAATTAATAAGTTCAATTACATTATAGAGTAATTACATGATCGATTGATTATTTTGATATGAAATGCTTTTTTAACCCATAATTAGTGATAAATAAAGTTATTTAATTATAATTACATTTCAGTTATAAGTTTAATTATAATCTCAATGCATTATAGATTAATTACATGATTAGCTAATTGTATTCATCTTAAATAAAGTGATCAATTGATTATTTTGATATAAAATGCTTCTTTAACCCATAATTAGTGATAAATGAAGTTCAATTATAAGTTCAATTACAATAGATAACCTATCTGTTGCAATAAATAACACATCTGTTGAAAATAATCAAATAAATATGATCATTTGTTGCAACAAATATTGAAATCTGTTACAATAAATGTCTAATAAGTATTATCTGTTGCAATAGATGATTCATCCGTTAAAAATAATGAAGCATATATGTTCATTTGTTGCAATGGATGATTCATCAGTTGCAATAAATGAGCTACAACATATTATAACCTGTTGCAACATATGTTTCAATAGTATAATTTAACTTTTTACAAATCTAAGAATAAAATAGAATTCATGATAAAATAACTGAACATCTATATAATATAAAATCTTCTCATCGGCAATTACAAAATATGATTAACTAAATATGTTTAAGTGTTCATGAATTACAATTCATATAAAATTTTCCAGCTTACAAAATATAATTCATGATAAAATAACTGAACATCTATTAAATATAAAATATTGTCATCAGCAATTACAAAATGTCAGGTTCTTCACCTTACAAAATATGATTTCAGCAATTCATATCCTCTACAACTTCTGCTGCTCTTCTATGGCTCCTGAAGATGACTCAACATTGCAAGAAAGGGGAGTAGTTGCAATTTGTTGTCTTTTTTTCATATTTGATAATATCTTGGAAATTGATTTTTTCTTCTCCTCTTAATCTTCAATGGTGTGAATGGCTCCGAAATTTTTCTTGATGGAATAAGATATCTCTTAGATATCAATTCCTTAACAGCACTAGTAAGAGCATCAAGAGACTTTTTCACATCTTCACCAGTAGATATTAAATGAGCCTCTTTGTTCTTGTATTCTTTACATTTACATGCGGAACATGAGCTAGAAGAAGGAGCAAAAGATATAGTATGTCCTCTGAAAGGGGTGAATCTACCATATATACCACCAACATCATCAACATGCTCACCACCACTTTTAGCACCAATATCAACACCAATATTAACATCAACATCAACATCAACATCTAATGCAACATCATAAGCGTCACCAGAAACAATAGGTGCTTCCCTTCTGATCGTTGTTGCTCCAGTCAATTATTTTTTTATTAGATCCACTATAGGGTCTGATTTGGTGTCAATAATTTCTAAAATTAAAAAGAATGACATTTACAACTCTTGCTCTGTGGGAACAAGCCATTGATGTACAATCTATAAACAAAAATAGCTTATATTAAAACTAATCTATAAGTTATAATAGATCAAATATTTATTGTAATATTTACCTATATATTTTATTTCTAACAGATGGCCCATATGTTGCAACAGATGGGCCATCTATTGGAAGAAAACAAAATAGTAGCAAATGATCTTTTTTTCTTTTAACAGATAACTCATATGTTGCAGCAGATAGGTCATCTGTTGCAAATAAGCAAAGCAGCAGCAAGCTATTGAGATTTCGTTCAATAGATGACTCATCTATTGTAACAGATCGATAAGTTGTTGGACGAAAGCAAAATAGTAAAAAATGTTTGAGATTTTATCCAATATATGACCTATCTGTTGCAACAAATAAGTAAGGTGTTGGACGAAATCGAGACAGCAAAAAAAGACTTAAATTTTGTCCAACAGATGACCTATTTGTTGCAACAAATAGGTCATCTGTTGAACCTAAATAAAACAACAACAAATGACAAAGTTTTCATCCAACAAATGAGACATCTATTGCAATAGATCAGTCATTTGTTGGGCAAAATCAAAACAGTAGCAAACTCTTATGTTTTCTTCCAACAGATGACTCATCTATTGCAATAGATGATTATAGATGAGTCATATATTGGAAGAAAACTAAACGAAAGCAAAACAGTTAATCAGTTAATTTAAATAAATATTATTCTATAGAAGACTTACTATATCATGAGGAGGATCGAAGAGATCAACAGAAATTTTTTTTGGGTTGTTCTTGGCAGACAACCACCTAAGAATCATTGGCTGAGAAATTTCTTTCGAGTAATCATTGAATTGCGTTCTGAGGTAAGGTATTGCTTCAAATGCCCAATCCTAAAAATATAAAGATGATGAAAGTAAACATTTAAAATAATTATTCAATAACACAGATAAATAAAACACTAAAATTAGAGGTGAAGTTTACCATGAAAGCCCAAGGAAAGCCATATAAATTGTTAGTCTTCGGTGATAACTTTGACATCAAATACTCGACAGCCAAGAAATAACTATTATTACCCCATGGGTAATTGTTGAATGCATCCAAATCTTGAGCAAGCACAAACAAACTAAGATCTATGACATTGTTGATGTATTTAGCCCATAAAATGGCATGCACAAACCAAACTAAGCACAATCGCTCTTTGTGCTTCTTCAAAACCTTTTTTCTTTGGAGATCTTCTATCAAATCTTTGGCTTTATAACTAAGTCCAATAATAACCAACAACTCATTTTCATTATTTAGTTTTTCTTTGCCTTTGTTGGTTTAGGTGTTGACTGTCTTGACTGGCTTTTTACCTTTCTTGCCAATCTTGACTGATTTAGATATGTTTTTTTCTCTTGGCTTTCTTAAGCGTGCAACTTTAGGAAGAGGTTCAGAAGGAGGATGACATCTCAGTCCAGTCACTATGGCAAATTCTTTCATGCCAAAACAAACTGGCATGCCACAGTAGTTTATTCAAATCTTATCCATTTTCTTGTTCTTATTCTCCAAAGCATCATCATCAGCTCCCTTATACTTGATCCTGCGCTTGAGAAGATCATACACCATGCTCATTTGAAAACGTGCATTGTTAGCCTCCGGCAGATCAAGAAAGTATCCAAAACAGCTAGACTTAAAGAAATCCTCCAACTTTTCATTTATCAATATCGTTCTAAAAGCATCAAATTTGGCACTCATGGCTGATTTTACAACAAAATCACCTGTCAAATTTGTAGCGTCATCTATAGGCATCTCTACCTGAAACTTGTCAATATTAAAAATTTTGACAACATCTTCATCTCCTTCCTCACTTTCAGTATCATCTCCTTCATCACTTTCATTTTCATCTCCATCCTCTTCATCTCCTTCCTCACTTTCAGTATCATCTCCTTCATCACTTTCATTTTCATCTCCATCCTCTTCATCTCCTTCCTCACTTTCTTTTTCACCTTCCTCCTTATCTTCTTTATCATTTTCAGTTTCTTCATCATCTCCATCTTCATCATTTATTTCCTTTTCTTCTTCATTTTATTTTTATCTACCTCCTCTACAATTTTCATATTTTCATTTTGTTTCTGTACAACAAGTTCTTCCAATGGTGTTTGTACTTTAGCTACTTTACTTGATTTATCAGAGACTGATTCATTTGTTTTTTTTTTGGAAACCATTTTTCTACGAATAGAAAATATGAAAAAATTTACAATCAATTATGCATCATTAAAAAAAGATAGCAATAAATTTAATAAATTCAATATAATATAATATTCTATAGATAATCCACTTGTTGCAACAAATAACTCATTTGTTGTAACAAATAGGCCATCTATTGCAACAGGGGAGACCCTAATGTAGTTAATTTCAAAAGATAAATATAAGATCAACTTTTTACCAGAACTAGGACATTTCATATACTTATATTGTCTAGGCATTACAAGGTTCAACAAAAAAGTGCATGCTGATCAACTTGAATTAAAACCTTATATTGCTTACTTCAGCCATAAAAGCAAACTAGCATCTCTTCAATTAAAACCTTGTTTAGAGCAAGAAGACTAACTCCCAAAACTTGCCCTTTTTTTCTTTTTTTTCTAATAGTGATGTTTAGATCAACTTGCATGCTTTTCAACAAAGTATTTATTACTAAGTTCAATTACTTTGTCTGGTTTGTCCATACAAATGAAGCATGACATCAAGCTTGCTAATTTATCAAACAAGAGGAAGACACAAAGTAGTAGCCCTTAGTTACACAATCAGGTAAATAGTTATGGGAAACAAAGTTATGATTTTGTATCATATTAGTATAAATTAAGCCAAAAATAGCAGTTGCAATGGAAGATCAGAAATGAATAGAACAAAAATAATCAATCTTTATCATCACAAAAGCAAAATACAACAAAAACAAATGTAAGATTAAGAAAAGAGGAATGAACAAGAAAGCAGGGACATTTTCTTTCTTTCCTTTCTTAAGTGTTCTAACCTCCACCTTCCACCCATTAGGAACCCAATTGGGCAAACCTCTTTTCTTCCCCATCTCACCTAAATTATCAACTA